CCTTTTGCTCTTAGGTTGGAGGCCATCGCTTCTAGGTTGGAGGCCATAGCTAGTAGGTTGGAGGCCATCGCTAGTAGGTCGGAGGCCATTGATAGTAGTTCAGAGGCAATCGCTATTAGGTCCCTTTTGCTACTAGGTTGGAGCGCATGGCTAGTAGGTTAGAGGCCATCGCTATTAGGTTGCTTTGCTATTGATTGGACACAATCGCTAGTAGGTTGGAGGCCATTGCTATTAGGTTCCTTTACTATTAGGTTGCAGGCCATCGCTTTTGGGTTGGAGGCCATCGCTATTAGGTTGGAGGCCATCGCTAGTAGATTGAAGGCCATGGCTATTAGGTTCAGGCCGTTGTTAGTAGGTTGCTGCCGAAAGAACTTGCCTTGCTTGTCGAGGTTCGTTTTAGCTGCACTGCCTGGCTACTCAGCCACCATCCAGAGCTCTCAGTTGAGGGCCTCTCGGACCCTCGGCTTAGGCGTTAGCACGCGGTTAGGACTGTTAGGCCACCCGCGATGGCCTCCAACCTACTAGCGATGGCCTCAAACATAACGGCGATGGCCTCCAACCTAATAGCGATGGCTGAAGAACGCTATGTTTACCACCGCACGGTGCCAGCAACAAGAAAACGTGAGTGACTGCATAGTTTTGTTTTGTTTTTTGCTTCTGCAAGCACTCTCGATGGCATCCAACATACTGGAGGATCGGCGACAACGGCTGCTCACCGAATCGTCTCCTTCCGGCCGCACCTGAGAACAACATGGGATCTTTTGAGGTTATGGCGATTCCAATCAGAACAGCTCTCTAGATGAGATCGGTCTCGAGATAGAACTCTTTAGAAGCTGTTATTGTCTGATTTTGTTGCCCAGGTATCTTGCATGACCAGATGGGCGAGTTGACGATAGACCTCCTTGAGCCTCCACTGATTGAACACGTGACGCCAGTTGAAAGTGCTTGCGGTTCCGAAGTGGGGTGGTGTCAAGCATGGCAAACCAAGCAAGCATTGATGCAGTTTCCTTGGAGAACTGTCAGAAAGGTCAGTGGCCGGCGGACCCTGATGAAATGACTCCATGAACTCAGATTAGTGTTAGTTGTCCGGAAGATTGAAAGCTGAAGGACCGATTTCTGTTTGATAAGAGGACCAATTTCTTTGACTAGGAGCATGGACGCTACTAGGGGCTCCTGGCCTTACTACTACGAGCATGGACGCTACTAGGGGCTCCTCGAATCGCTACTAGGAGCCAGGACGCTACTAGGAACAAGTGCCACGCTAGTAGTAACAAGTGCCTTACTAGTAGTAACAAGAAGCTATTAGAAACAAGTGCCTTACTACTAGGAGCCAGGACGCTACTAGGAACAAGTGCCACGCTAGTAGTAACAAGTGCCTTACTAGTAGTAACAAGAAGCTATTAGAAACAAGTGCCTTACTACTAGGAGCCAGGACGCTACTTTCCCCTCGTTGCAGTTCCAGAGTTCCGGACGTCGACAAGATGTTCAGACTGAGTCAGTCGAAGGAGCAATGGGCTGGGAAGAAGTGTGAGGACTTGTCCGTGCGCGAGATTTTGGCGGCTTAGCGTCATCAGTGAGTGAGTGGATAATTGAAGCATGCGACAAGCCTCGCAAGTTGGCAAGGGTAGTTGTCCAAAGGCAGTCTTCTTGTTGGTAAGAAGTAGTGGCGGCGAGCACACTGATAAAGGCCCAAGGCTAATGTGTTCAAACCTGTTCGACTTTGGGTCCAAGCTGCGATGAGCTAGCGATGGGCTCCAACCTACATGTTCAGTGCACAAGACGAGTTGGTGCACTGAGGCCACCTTGTTTCGCTGCTGGGAGGAATTGGAGGCAAGCCGAAGCACAGTTGAAAAGAAGCCTTGGTGACATTTGTTGTTTCGCTTCCGAACGGGATAGATTCTGCGGAACATTGCGACTTTAGCTTCAAATGTTTATTCTTTTTCTTTAAACTGGAACAAGTTTGAAATGCATTGAGCACGTGTTATTCTTTTTCAGTGCTGCTTTTCGTTGAAGTGAAAACGGTTGCATCGCTCGTTTTGCTCGCTCCATGTCTGATGTCGAGGCATGTCGGCTCAAGTGACGCAGCCGCGGAGCACCGCGCAGCACACACACACACCACATAAACACAGTGAAAAGGAAAAAATTGAAAAAGAAAGACAATAGAGAAGAAAAGACACCTAATAGCGATGGCCTCCACCCTAGTGAAAAGAAACACCTGCAGACAAACAAAACGCTTGATTTTTCAAGACTCTGTTTCAATCCCTTCAAACACTTTCAAGCTTTTAGGTCGTTACTTTTTTTGCCCAAGAAGAGAAGACACAAACCCTTACATGTCTCTTCTCGGGAGCACAACTCTTGCATCGACTAAGCAGAGCGAAGGAACCAAACGATCGAAACAGGCCGCAGAAACAAGCTATTAGTAACAGGTGCCTCGCTAGTAGTAACAGGTGCCTTACTAGTAGTAACAAGAAGCTATTAGAAACAAGTGCATCGCTAGTAGGAACAGAAAGCGCGCAGAAAGCGCCTTTGCTCCAAATCTTGTGTTGGACGAAGCGCTGGACGGGACGTCCACGATGGAGGGATGCGAAATCGAAGCGCCACAGACTCAGAGCGCTCAGAGTGTAAACACTAAGAGGGATGGCCTCCAACCTAGTAGCTTCTTGCTACTAGTAGCTTCTTGTTACCAGTAGTAATGGCCTCCAACCTACTAGCGATGGCCTCCACCCTAGTAGCGATGGCCTCCAACCTGTTTTATTTTGCTTTGAAGCACCATGTAAACAGTTGAGTCTGATCCACTTGGTGCAAAGCAGAACTTGCTCAGTGCAAGAGAGACACTGATGAGGCCAGTGAAGGTCGCCGGAGCTTTCGTGAAATGCTCAGAGTTGTTATGGCAGTTTCAGACACAAGACGGCCTCCAACGTAAGAGCGATGGCCTCCAACCTAATTTTGTCCTTGTATCCTACCACGAAAAGAGAGGAGACATGAAGAGATTGCTTTTGGATGTTAGTGGCTCTCAACAAGAAGGCAAACAATGAAAGAAACCAGTTTCCAGTCAAAACCAGTGGCAACGCTTAACTTGGAGCGGCTCGTTAGGCATGCCACCACCGGTGCCAAGCAAGAAACCAAGCCCGAGAATTGACAAGAGCTGTTTCGACCATGTGCTTCACAGCTGTTTTGAACATCACAGCTCTTGATGTGAATGCCAGGTGAGGGCTTTGGCTTCTGTGAGGACAGCAGCAACAGGAATGTCATTGTGAGTGCAAGTGCCAGCAAACTGGACTGGGTGCAAAGCAAGGATCCACACCAAGCAGCATGCCACCCAAATGCCTTTCTTGTTTCCGCCGAGACTTGAAAGTAAAAGGGTACATCAGTGCATCACTGCATCATACAAGAAATGTTTCATGGGTACTGAAAGAAAACCGAGTTGAAAGACTCTCTAAAGACATAATGTACAGTCTATGGCTCATGTCTTGACTGGACTAAAACATCTTGAACTCGGTCTTCAAACTAAATTTGACTTCTTCTTGTCTTCAAACTAAGGCAAACGATTTCATGACACCAACCGCTGAACTGCTGTCGGTCGTGCGCACACCACTTTTGAGAGCTTGCAGGAGAGAGCCTCGGAGAGAGCCTCGAGAGAAACCTGGAGACCTTATAGCTCTTTCCAGGCAGGAGAACATAGGAGGACTGATGAAGGCTCAACTTTGACTTCTCAGCTGAGTCCAGTTGGTCTCAATGAGGGACTTGTCTTTAGAGTGGCAACCGTCCAGTCCGGCAGGCTCCTTCTACATCCTTTCAGCCTCATCAACCTGTTCCGAAGCGCGCGCTCAGCAGGCATGGATTGGTTTGGGGAAGGGGCCGCCGCCCCGCCTTCCACCGGCCCGGCCTTGCCTGACCTTCGAGTGTGGAACTTGTGAGGCCTTTGCCTGACACCTCGCATCTCCGGGCGGTTGCTGGAGGCACAGATTGGATTTCCAAACCTGTTTGGCGCTTTCAATTTCCCAGGTTTGGCGCTGATTGAAAAGATCGGCCATGAGCACAGAGAAGTGGGAAAAAGGAGAGAAGTAGAATAGAACACATACGAAGCATGAGAGACAAAAAGAAGAGTGACAAGAAACAACTGGAGATTGTAGTTTTGGAAAAAGGTTTGCAGACCTCAGTAACAAGGACATCGCTACTAGTAACAAGGACATCGCTACGAGTAACAAGGGCATTTCTGCTACTAGCTAGAAGCTACTAGTAGCTCCTGGCCTTACTACTAGTAACAAGAAGCTACTAGTACCAAGGGCATTACTACTAGTAGCTAGAAGCTACTAGGAACAAGTGCCA